TTCGTTACAACAAATTAGCATAATAAATTTAGTATTGAATTGTTTTTTTTTTATGAATGTCTTATTATTTTTAGGGGCGCGTATCACAAGGTTCCGAGAGAAATGTTGCAACGCTGTATCTTTTTATGGATGATAATGGAATGGTGACCCCGCCCATGTTAACGGTATACACTAGCGGGGCACTAGTGAGGGTGATAGGTGAGGATGAAAAGGCAGGTCAGTTAGCTCATCGTAACGAATTCTTTGAATAGATTAGTCACGATAGTTTCCAGGGGGAACCGCGTGGAGGTCGATCTGTTAAGGTATATTTAAAGTAATGGGAAACAACCTACCCATTAGATACTAATAATCCTTTCCCTCTTTGCAACGTTGTTAGTTTGTCCATCAATCAACAAATTTTTAAGTAACACATACATCGTTTAATCGACTAATCAATTAATCGATAATTTCATTTATCTTTTAATCGATCAATTTAAATCACATTTAGTGAGAAAGTACTATAAGGAAGTTTATGATTAACCACATAAATTGACAAGTACTAAGAATAGTATTGTATGTTAGTAATGAAATTAATGTACTGTTTAAAACAGCAATATTAATTATAAACAAATAAATAATAATAAAAATAAAAAAAAAAAAACATAATTTGATGCCTAAGTGAAAAGCGGCCGCAACCGCCGTGTAAGCATGAGACAAGTTTTAAAAGCAGACAAAGCAAGAAGTCTCACTAATGTTTTAAATGTGAATGTTTGTAAAGATATTTGGATGTCTGTGTCTGTTACTAGATTACGTTTAAATGGCTAAACAGATTTGAATGAAATTTGGTACAAGGACAGGTTATATTCTAATTTAACACAAGTACATTATGTACCATACGTAGACAAAACCGCGGCAATTATATAGACTTTAGAGAATGTTTGAGCTGTGTTGGAATCGAACCTCAACTATCCCGTCTCGGTGCATCATCGAGACAGAAGTTCTTGCCTTTTGCTCACCCCATAAGGTAAAGCATTGTGAGATATGTAATCTTTAGAGATCTAGACTTTACACAGTGAATGCATTATTGTCTCGGATCTGTATACTTAGCGTGCAGTAGTAAATAACTACTACAACTCTAGTAATTTATGCTAATAAAAATAAAAATATTTAAGAAATTTGTTTCAAACTGTGACATTAATGTAGTTTTTGTTTATTTTTGTTTGTTTTTATACAACTTAGAATGGCAAACAAGTTGACGGCCCACCTGATGTAAAGTGGTAACCGTCGCCTATAGACATGAGCAGTACCATGGACATAACAGAGTATACTGTTTCGCCCATGATACCCCCCATGCGTTGCCATTCCTGAGGACTCAGGTGTTATTCCTCTGTATCCAGTGAATTCACGCCATATCCCACCCTTCAACCCGAAACAGAGCCATGCAAACACAACTGCTTCACGGTTGAAACACGAATGGGACAGAGGTACCCAAGCAATCGACTTTTGTACAAAGTCTCTCTCTGGTGTACCACTGTATTGGGTAAGTCGTAGATACAAATTATAAATTGCGTAATGATTACGGTACATAGTCATAACTACACCTTTTTGACGTTGGTTAACAATGCAAAAGGAAGCCATTCGGAATGTGCAATAGGTATATCGGATGCCTTATTGTTGTTTATTACGAGCTTCCTTAGGGAGAGACCCGGATATCCCGTAAGATTGCGCATGTCACACGCGATACCGGTCACAGGTTGGGAACTGAACTTAGAGTCTACTGCCAATGGGAATTATGGATACCGATCCGATATTTATATATTGGATTCTTCTGTATATTGATAGTGGAAAAAAGGTCCTCGCCCATTTCGATTTCGTCCATATCGGTCGGATATCTATTTTCGGATATGGTAAAAGTCTGTTATCCAAAAAATAATATTGAATTATTTACAGTTGGGATGTGTGGGATTCGTACCCACTAAAAACCACACGACGTACCTCGAGGCGCTTATGTTGGATCCCGGGTTCCCGTTTGTACAACTACCGAGTATATATTACCCAACCCTAGTATCTACGCTGGACTTATAGTAATGTAATAATTTAAGACCAATAAAAACAGCGAAAAATTTAATATGGAACTAACACAGGTGTAACGGGAAGAGAGAGGATTCCTAGTAATGGGGACTAGTAGTCGTATTGCTAGCAATATACCCTGTCACGACCTCTTCGTAGTTCCCCCTGGAAACTATAGTGATTGATTTATTTTTAAATTCGTCACGGTGGGCTAACTGACCTACTTCATCCTCACCTATCATCCCTTACTGATGCTCTGCTAGTGTATACCGATAGCGCAGGCAAGAATATCATTCCATTAACATCCATTAAAAAATACTATAACTGGATGGGGGTGGGGGGGAGTTATAGTTAGCAATAGGGACTAGCGACCCTATTTCTAGTAAAACACACTATCAGGTCGACCTCCACACGCAGTTCTCTCAGAAAACCATCGTGGTTAATTCTTGTGGAATTCGTCACGATGGGCTAACTAAACTGTTTTCATCCTCACCATCAGTCACCGATGTCCCGCCAAAGCATTTATTAAAAAAAAAACAATCTTCTCGATTGCAAATATAATTAATAAAATTGATTCATAAGTAAAAAAATCTTAATTTGTCTATATTTTTGCTGTACTCCAATAATATCTTTGTCAATTCTAAAGCAATTTTAATAATTATATTATTTGGTCTAATTTTCATTATTTATGTCGGGTATTTTGACCGTGTGGTCTTGGCATAGAATAGTCCACCCCTTCCTTTCCCGTGGGCATGGTACTACTGGTAAAATCTTTCAAGGGAGACGCTTATGTTTAGCAGTGGATAGTTAAATACTGATATAGAGAAGTTAAAATGTGGTCAATAAAATAAAAATAAATATCTATTTATAAAAACGGGAAGCTTTACAATAAGATACAAGGGGGGAAACCTCCCAAAAGGTCCATATATCAAATGCTTTAATATTCTTTTAATAATTCAAATAATTATAACTTCATCAAAAGATAGAGCAATCAGAAGTATCCTTAGAGTTTTTTTTATTTATTTTTATGAATTTATTACTAAACATAAATATTCAAATTGTTGTAAAATTGTAAAAGGTTGTTATGTCCTAATTGTTCTGCTTTTTTAAAGGAAGCACGTAAATATTTCATATTTTATTGATAGTTTTATAATTAAAATAATTAATCATATGGTTTCTTAATTGAAATAACGTTTAAAAGAAGCCAGTAAACAATCTAATTTTCCCGCCGTATTCGATTTACGAAATTATGAACGCACTATTTTTCGCATTAGCTTTTAATTTAAACAAGTTGGCAATACAACCTACGAGAACACAACGGTACACCACGAAGATGGCCGAGCGCGCCCGAACCGAAGTTTTGGCGCCATCCGCCATCGCATCATCACGATAATCATTGTACGGTATATTTTTTTTGCTACACGCGACTTCGTAGTAAACCGGACAATGAGAATTGAAAGTGTTGAAAAGTCATATATATTGCAAATTTAATCTAGCTACCTATTTGTAGCTGCTGGATTTGGATTGTTTTGTTTAGGACTTCTAGTAAAACGAGTATTTAAAAACAAGATGGCGAGTAATAAAAAATACATAATTAAAGTGACACATTACTGAGACATTGCTGGTTACGAGTTATTTTTATAAGGAGATGAAATCAACGTATTAGCGTACCTGGTATAGTCAAGGCATAGTTTACGCTTGTCACTTGAACTTAACTATCTTTATTGGTACATTGTGTTCGTGTCCTCAAAATATTTCACACTGTTTGCTGGGGATGAAATGTATCGGTAGACATTCTTTGAGATTGTAGGCATTGGAGTTATTGTCAATTGTTGCCCCATAATATGATGTAACCTTTTTTTTAATCTTTACTGGAATATAGTAAATAGGATAAAGTGACACCAAAGGCAGTAATCTTTAATGGTATACAAACAATTTACCGTGTGGTTCCGGCATAGAATAGGGAAGGAAAGGGTGGCCCCTTCTTTCCCCATGGGTGTCGTAAGAGGCGACTAAGGAAGGACGAGGGATGGGCAGCAGCGTCCCTCTTAAAACATCTCTAAAGTCTAACTGCGGCTGTCAATACGCCTGCTAAGCGTGGTAACTCCTGGCAAATCCCCCCCCCCCCCCATGGGGGGCTCAGCAGCCCAAGCTCAGCAGTGATGAGCCTGTTTACTTTTTAATAATTCGTCAAATCATGATTAGGATATTGAGATGCAAACAGTCGCATCATTGCTTAATTGGAGCCTATTTTACGTATGTACCAGAGAGAAAGACTTTGTACAAAAGTCGACTTGGATACCTCTATCTTATTCGTACTTTTACCGTGACGCAGTTGTGTTTGCATGGCTGTGTTTCGGTATGAAGGGTGGGATATGGCGTGAATTTACAGGGTACAGAGGAATAACATCTGAGTCCTCAGGAATGGCAACGCATGGGGGGTATCATGGGCGAAACAATATACTCTGTCATGTCCGTGGCACCGCTCATATATATAGGCGACGGTTACCACTTTCCATCAGGTGGGCCGTTTGTTTGCCATTCTACGTTGTATAAAAAAAAAAGTACTACATTTATATAATTGTCACTATTATCATTTCTTTGTTATCGAGAAGAATTTTTGAAAATTAAGTGACATCAAAAAGTTTAGAGCATTTCTATAGAAGTATACAAATTTCGTATGGGGAAACACGAAAAATTGTGTTCAATTTGTTGGCATGAAACTTATTCTTCTATAAATAGAACTACTTTTCCATAAACGCTGAAACACGCGCCTCTTACACGTGTTATGGTATTTATGGAAAAATCGTGAAACAGGTGACGCCAGTTAGTAGCGGCCGAACGTAGGGGCATAATCCTTGGAATTAATAAATCGATTCCAGAAAATGTTTCTTTAATTGATAGAAAAGTAAAGTTTTCGAGTAATGTTACGTTAGTATTCAGGTACTTACTTTTTATCTGATGCCATGCCATTTCCCATTGGTATTTTCTAACACCACCATCTTTAGATTACACCTGAAAAATTGAAACGAAGTAAAATTAGCCAATTAATTAAATATAACAGGGTACAGAGGAATAACACCTGAGTCTTCAGGAATAGCAACGCATGGGCGGTATCATGGGCGAAACAGTATACTCTGTTATGTCCATGATACTGCTCATGTCTACAGGCGACGGTTACCACTTTCTATCAAGAGGGCTGTCAGCTTGTTTGCCGTTCCAAGTTGCATAAAAAAAATATAGAAGGCGTTTGACGCCGTGTAGTCCCGGAATAGAATCGGCCACACCTTTCTTTCCTGTGGGTATCGTAAGAGGCAACTAAGGGAATTTAATGATCGAGGGATGAGCAGCAGTATCCCTATTAAAACATCACTAAAGCCTAACTGCTGTTGCCAATTCGCCTGCCAAGTGTGGCAACTATTGGCAAAATCCCCCTTTATCAGGGTTATGTTCAGCAGTGAACAGTAATTGGCTGATTAAATTATAATATGTAAAATTAGGGACAACTGGCTTACGAATTTATCCGTCATAGGTACTCTTTAACATTAGATTTTTAGTTTAAATGAAGGTGTTTTGCTCAGACAACAAATACATAACATTTATATTAAGACGAGAGCTTAGAATATATAAATATAGCATTGAGTATCAAAAATATGTCACAATTTACTCGGCTAATTTGACGTTGGGCTGAGTAATTTTTTTTAAATCAAAATAAAACGGACTTTTTTTTCAGTGTTGCAAGTAATTGGATAAAAATTTCCCAGACAAGATCCATGTTTTAATTTGAATTTAGAACTATTCTGATATAGTATAAATATACATATGTACATTTACATATGTATGTATATACTTCTATCGATTGCAACAAGAATTATCAAAATCGGTTCGTAATTGACGACGTAATCGCATAACAAAGTGACAAACCAAAGATTTATTTCTTTCTTTTAGAAGTTGGCGAAAAGTTTCTTGAAATACGACAAATATGTGAATTTACAGGGTACAGAGGAATAACACCTGAGTCCACAGGAATGGCAACGCATGGGGGGTATCATGGGCGAAACAGTATACTCTGTTATGTCCATGGTACTGCTTATGTCTATGGGCGACGGTTACCACTTTCCATCAGGTAGGCCGTCAGATTGTTTGCCATTCTAAGTTGTATAAAAAAAATAGGTCAGGAGCTGACTCCTTGATCCATGACTTCGGAAACCGTTCATCATCAGGCAGATCATATGCTTGTATGCTGACAAAAATTGAAGACCTCAAATATGTTGCAGATATTTTGGCATAGGCTGAGGCCTCATCAGCATGGCTTTACTCTTTATTGTCCCCAGCTGAAATGATTTTGGATAACATACGTAATCGGTTAAGTAATTTTGAAACGTATCCATTCACTCATTAAATGGCACTGTACAATGACAACCAATTGTGTTGTCACATACAGACACAAAGTACGCGCAGGGTTGGCACTTGCGGAATGCGTTAACCAATAATTTGTTGAAAGATTTGTCAAGTGCGAGAGGAACTCGTGGTCTGAGGAGTCCTTTTCGTAGCAGTTATGTAGGCTGAATAAAAATTTCTTTTTTTTTAAATATTATATGTACCAGGTACAGATGATTTTTCATTTGATATATACATAGCAGTTGGCGTGAATTTATAGGGTACAGAGGAATAACACCTGAGTCCTCAGGAATGGCAACGCATGGGGGGTATCATGGGCGAAACAGTATACTCTGTTATATCCATGGCACCGCTCATGTCTATAGGCGACGGTTACCACTTTCCATCAGGTGGGCCGTCAGCTTGTTTGCCATTCTAAGTCGTATAAAAAAAGTTTTATTTTAAAATTTAAGAAATTTAGTAAAGTACTCATTTAATTAATTAAAAATTGTTCTGATATAATAAAAAAAAGTTCATATTCTTAGGAGATACGCTAATGATGACAGAAAGATTCACAGGTCAAGATATTAAAAAATGTAAACCTTTCTGTTTGCGTAGAGGTCAACCAATTGCAGAAACAACTTTTGGTTTTAAGTTATGAAGATTGGATGATGGCAATTATTATTATTTCGGCCGTTAACTGTCCACTGCTGGACATAAGCCGCCTTCCCCATAAGGGGAGTTTTGTCAATAGTTGCTATGCTTGGCAGGCGGGTTGGCAACCGCAGTTAGGCTTTTAGAGATGTTTTAAGAGGGACGCTGCTGCCCATTCCTCGCCCTCTACGACATAAGAAAAACATACGAAAACAAAACAGACTTTTTCAGGAATAAGGGCATCATTACACTCTTTCTGAGTAGCTATACTCATAGATAAGACCGATGCATGACACTTTCCATTATGTAGACCGTCATTTATTACGATTTCAAGTTGCATAAACAAATTAACCTTAAGATTGAAACTTATAAAAAATAAAAACATTTTGAAAGACGAAATCAGCTAGTTTGAGCTTAGAAGTATATCTAATTTATGCAACTACATATTTAATTGGCGATCGGTAAAACTATATTAAGCAAAACTTTGACTTCCACGAGACAGGCTTTGCCTAGTGTGGGGTCATAGTTATATTGTACTACAGGCTAATTTTGTTTAAGGAAATAAAGTTATTATTATTATTTGTTTATGCGAGAGAACAGGTCAACGGCCGGCTGGCAGATATGTTTCGCGAATCTCCGCGACATTATGTGAGCGGTGTCAACCCTAGTCCCGTACAATGTGGTCACACCCACCGGAAGCCACTCAGACTACCGATAACGCGTTCTTGAAAACTTATCTGTCCGAAATCTATGTATACGTACGCATATAAAAACACTTTAAATCTGGTAGGCACTGTTTTTTTTTTTGATGGGTGAAAATGGAATAGTAACCCCACCCCGTCTGCGCCAACGGGATACGCCGGCGAGACACCAGTGAAAGGTGATAGATGAGAATGAAAACAGGCCAGTTAGCACATCATGATGAATTCATCAGGAATTAACCAGGATAGTCTCCAGGGGGAATCGCGTGGAAATCGACCTGGTTGGGTATATTGCTAGCAATGGGATTCTTAGTCTTCATTGCTTACAATCCCTTTCCCTCCTGGTAGGACGGTTTGAGTCGCAAGAGATGTAGGTATTAGGCCTATAGATTGTCTATAGGTACGCTAAACTTTGAAAATGGAGTTTGACAACCCCATTGCTAGCAATATGTCCTATTAGGTCGACCTCCACGTGGTTCACCCTGGAAACCATCGTGAATAATTCTTGTTGGATTCGTCACGATGGGCTAACTAACTTGCCTTTTTATTCACACCAATCATCTCTCACTGGTATCCCGCCAGTGTCTACCGATAGCGCAGGCGAAGGTACCATTCCATTGCCATCCATTAAAAATAACACTCATGGTAGGTTAAAAAATGAACGACCGACCATAGATATAGAAGGTAGTAGATGACGCTGGTATTAACTACGCGACCTAGCATTTTATATATATATATATATATATATATATATATATATATATATATATATACTCGTATATATATTGCCCTTCACGGGTTCTTATTGGTTCTTCAAGAACCAAACCATCAAGTTATGGAATTAACTGGAATTAAGCTTAAATGACCGAATAGATTTGAATTAAATTTGGTACAGTTTTATTATATTATAGTTATGTCGTTAAAACATAGGATGTTTTTTAAACTAAATCACGTAGGCGAAGCCGCAGAAAAACACTTAGTACATAATAATGAGATAATGGCTGTGTTGATTTTTTTTATACCACTGAGGTGGCAAACAAGTATACGGCCCACCTGATGGTTAGTGGTTACCGCAGCCTATGAACGCCTGCAATACCAGAGGTATTACGCGTGCGTTGCCGACCCTGAAGAAACCTTTTTAGCCCCTTTTGAAGAACCTCATGCTGTAGTCTCTTGGGAAAACCTCAGCAGGGAGCTCATTACATAACCTGAGTGTTTGTGGGAGAAAACAATGTTTGATTTCTAAAGTATTACAAGTATCTTTATCAACTCTAATCTTGCATTTCATCTCGAGCGAGTTCGTTATCTCCCATAAAGTTGGGACATTTTTTTTTATACAACGTTGTCTGGCAAACAAGCTGACGGCCCACCTGATGAAAAGTGGTAACCGTCGCCTATAGACATGAGCAGTACCATGGACATAACAGAGTATACTGTTTCGCTCATGATACCCCCCATGCGTTGCCATTCCTGAGGACTCAGGTGTTATTCCTCTGTATCCAGTAAATTCACGCCATATCCCACTCTTCAAACCGAAACACAGCCATGCAAACACAACTGCTTGAAACACTAATGGGACAGAGGTACCCAAGCAATCGACTTTTGTACAAAGTCTCCCTCTGGTAATGTAATTTGGACATCTCAAAAACTCTTCTTAGTAATATAAAAAACCCATGCAACTGACAACGGACTGGTAGTATATCTTTTTGATATACATATATTAAATAAATCTGCCTAATTAATTGTTATTATATAATTTAGTGTGGGTCATCCAAAATAACCGACTGGTTTTAGATGCAGCGATCTGAAACCTGTTAGTAATTTGGCTGATCTCAAATCACATATAGTTCGTCACTAGAGACGCGACAGGAACTGTCTGAGCGGACGCAAGTAATAAACGAGCAGCGTGCGTCAAGTTATAACCGATTTTATAACTGTAGTGTTTCACGACGGGATCGTTTTGACGGAAAATAATATTCCGAAGCCAGGAGTAGTATAAAAAACTATGATGTTTCGAATATTTTTAAACATGTCTATTTGAATAGAGATTATTCTTATCTTATGTTTATTGAGTCGGGAATTACAAACAAGCTGACGACAACCGATTTGTCAGTATATGGTAAATGTTATATTTAGATATTAATATATTATGGTGATGACGTATAGAACCCAAACATCCTACATAGTACTACACGATTGCCCGTATTCAAAAGCCTCAAATTACTCAGCAGGCTATGGAGAGGGTTTTTTTTGATGGGTGAAAATGGTATGGTAACCCTG